ACACACACACACACACACACACACACACACACACACACACACACACACACACACACACACACACAAATTACAAAGCATGTAAAACTATCAAAATAACATTTAATAGTGTTTTTACTTTTGAAAAAATGTTTTAATACTTAAATAGTGGTACAAGTTCCTAGAAGTTTGGTGCAAACTCAGTCAACATTCACTAATATTGATTTTACTCACCAAAGTCATCTCTTTTTGTAGACAGTGTCAAACTGATTTTCAAATAAATTGTTAACACAACATCTCAATATAGGCATTGAAGAGACATTAGTATTTAATATGTGCTTTTTTCACTGATTGAAAAAAGGCAGTCGTGGAGTGATGAAGACTTTTCCAGATTACACAAACTAAGCTTTTACTCTCTGTGCTGGAGTTTGATTTACAGGGATAAAGGTTTGTCTTAAAACCAGAGGTATGCTCGACACAAAAAAATTAAATGTATCAATGTTATGATTGAAAGAAAAGTTAAGTCTGAAATAGAAGCCAAAATGTTATATTAATCTGCTTCTCAACTGTGTCAAATAATCTTTACAGAAGACTAATGGAATAGGGAGTTACACATTCCTGCATTATTTTCAATGTATACAATAATTGTTTTGCCGTCATATTGTTTTTTAATGAGGCCCTATTATCCTTTTTGCCCTTTTCCCCTTCCCGCAGTGTGTAATATTGGGTTTGTGAAAGTCATTTCAACATCTGCAACCCCCCCCCCCAACCCGAAACTCCTCGATTGGACTCCTTACTTTACTTCCGCAACAGACATCCCTATGTAACAGTCACATTTGTATTGGCTAGCGCTCCAACACATTGTTCCTGAAAAGGCTAAGGGATAGGGACATCTCTACAGTAAGTGGTTGACCAATCACAAGAGAGCTGTCACAGCTAACCAATCAGAGCAGACTGGGAATCTAAACATGTCACAGTAGAGACACTAAATACAAATATTAACCTAACAATTAGCATAAAGGGGCCCCTATAAATCTGGCCAATATCGCCTCTTCACCAGACTAAATGTATCAATCTAAGTTGTTTTAATGAGGTCAGTCTCCACACCACTGTCACATACATGCACACAAACTAACTCTCTTTGAAATCATCTAAAGACATAAACAATGTGCTTATGAATGGAGTCATTCAGCTCCTCTAACCAGCGTTTTACTCCACCAGATTAACATAAAGCTCCTCTGTTTGCCCGCACTGAACCACATCCAGAACTCAATTCGCCCA